CTGGAAAAAGTCAGGTATTCCAGAAAGCAAGGCGTTTTTCTTCGTCGACGACGCCCACCATGTAAATCTTGGTCAATGCAAGTGAATAATGTCAGGTTCCCATATGAGAACAAAGTTACAACAATTAAACCACCAGACATATATAACTACAAAATCAACTATGACATATGATATGGAACGAAGGCGAAATATGAGCGACAATTTAACACAGAGACTCCTGTTTAAGTAAAAGGAGAACAAGACCAGGTATTCTGGAAGAGTAAGCGTCTTTTGCTTCAACGACGATACCCGCATTGTAAATCTTGGTCAGTCCAAGATGATAGTGTCACGTTCCCAAATGAGATCAAGGTAAGCGTCCAGCTTCATATCAACAAATATTTGCATGTGTAATATTTCTTAGTGAGATCATTGTGACGGCCAGAAAACTTCTTCATCTTCGCCAACCTATGTCTCTCGACACCCTGTGTCTGTCAGTTGGTGACATCTCGCATCAAAAATCGGTCGAGGAATTTTAACCAGAAGAAGTAAAAAATGTTAGAAGTTTAGAACGCACGACGCCAAACAAAAGGGGATCGCAAAAGATCGTCATGAGACTTTGTCCCGAGTGACCTAAAATGTGATATTGCGAGCTGGTCCTTGTATTTCAATTGGACTGCGACACGTAAACACCATAGGTTGTGATGCAGATGTGTTGGTATCCATAAATGGAAAGTTTATGACAAGGAAATTGAAATCATGAAGTTTATCATACAGCTTGGCTGAAATCTGTTCATGTTGTTTTCGTTGTAAAAGCGTGCCGAGTCCTTGATTTCCAGTTTTGTTGGGTATATATGACGGACACGGTCATTGAATTTCTCGTTATCAAATACAATACAACATCAATATATCTGGAAGTGAAATTGAAGGACTTCGCAAGTCTTTGTGACCTGTAAACAAAAATCAGTCAGCCAAGAGATGAGCACAGTTTGTCCCCATAGAAATTTCGAGGATCTTTTGAGAGTTCGGATCAATAAAGATATTTTGTCAAACTCGCGATCTAATCCAAAATCAAAATAAGAAAACTATTTGTGGGAGCTCTACATATTCAGTTACAAAAACAAATAACAAAATAAACAATGGGAGACAACTCTTACTTTATTTTAAAATCAGTTTGAATATGCAAAAAAACTTTCTGAAGAAACGAATACCGACACTCTTTCAAAGTTTGAATAATTAATTCTACCCTTCACTACATCTGCCACAAAATAAATATTACCAGGTTTTAATTGTTTATCGCATATTTATTTCATTTACAATGATAAATATTTGACAGGAGCGAAAGGCTTCATGGGTCTAACGTCTAAAGACTTAAATCAGTGGTGTTTATTTCTTCATACGAAATAATTGTTTGTATTTATAATCATGATTATCAAATTTCTGACAAAAAGCCTAACATGAAATAAAAAAAACTTTGAAGAATTTTTTTTATTAAGGTGTGATCAAAAGAACCCATTAAATCTACTGAACATATAGTGACGGAGTCGTATCCTTGACGAACCGGAGCGGGAGGGAGGGTGTTGGGAGTTGGACCATAGGATAAGGCTTTACAGGCATATAACCAAAACCAGGAATATCTTGTATAACTTACCCAAAAATATCACGAGAGTACCGACCTGTCAACAAAATCGTACTTCAATTTTTCAATTGACAAACAGAAACTTATAAACAGTCATAAGGATTAAACGACATTGATTCAAAAACATTACGCCATTAACATTATAATAGTATAGGACACAAGTTTGAAAGCGTATATAAATTCACATCAATTAGTGACTCTTAAACAGCAGACGGAGAGAAAGACCAGGTGTTCTAGAAGTGTAAGCATCTTCTGCTTTATCGACAATAGCTGCCATGTTAATCTTGGTTCATTCAATTGACGTAAAGTTCATAGAACGAAAAACATGTATACAACATCAAGACTTGACGAAAGGTGAAATATTTGTAAGAATGCACAGGATCTGAGGTAAGAATAGGCGAGTCAGGTACTGAAAAGGATTAATAATTAAAGTCATATTGTTTTAAAAAAGACAAAAAAAGTTCCAGTAATTATTTTTATTTCATTGCTTGGCAATGTTAACTTTACATACACAAGTATCATGTACATTATGAGATAATGATAACATGTTTTTTTTAAGACCTATCATTGTACATCAAAGATCTTATATACAACCATATCTACTTATATATACAATCTCAAGCATTCAACATGAATGTATTACTATTTTAGACAACATTTCATTAAATGATGATATAAGGAGTAACAATATTGTGTTGCAGCACAAAGAAAATATGGCTGGTTGGATGGCGCAGTGGTAACGCACTCGCCTTTCACCTAGCTGTCTGGGGTTTGATTCCGGAATGGATGTGAAAAGGCATGGAGTCACCTGACCCACCACGTGGGTTTTCCCCAGTTTCCTCCCACAGTAAGACCCTTCGAGCACTTCCATCCGGGCCAACAAGAGTGATTAATATAAATTGGAAAAACTTGCTTCGCAATCGTTGTAAAATTGTCAAGTTTATGATTATATAGTTGGGTATCCGAGTATGTTTTTTTACTATAAAGAAAATATCTCATCCATGTACTAATAAAAGGACAACCAATCTTTACACAATGTTTGACATTGTATATGTATATGGTTCCTCAACATTTTGGCACAGTAATAGGAAAATTTAGATGGGAAATAGAGTGATAAAGATATGAAATTGCAACTAAAACGGAAGCTAAGACTTTATCCTAAACCATTGACTTCCCTGTAGGCCTCGAACCAGCGACCCAGAGGTGGTAGCGAAAAAACTTTTTAATCTTTATTTACTATATCAAGTAAGGTAAACCTGTTTCGTATGAGATTCTATTTCTGATTATTTCAAAGACGGAATAAAATCAAGATAATAAATATTCTGAAATAACATGATAGAGAAAATTATAATCAGATTCCTAAAAGTGGAGAAAAAATTTTCCTCAAACTTTCAGTAAAATGATAGAAATTGTAGATTTATTTGAAAAATAACTTTTACAAAGATATGGAAGACACTGTCTGCCTCAAAAGATGATATTCATACACTCTTGTCAAAAGAAATGAAACTCAAAATGCTCTAAGTAAGGTGCTTGTACATTTTTGTTAACCATTAACGAGCTAAGGTATTACAAAAAACTAAGTATATACACAAACCCAGAACTATCAATACTTATTACGATCTTTGTTTACTTCATCAACAATTGGGACCTTAATTGACATGAAAAACAACAATTCATATTTGTTCAATCAGCTATAAATGTAAACCAGATTATTAAGTACGGTACATATAAATAATTACAATACTGTGATGCCTACGTTGTTCAAAAGTTAGACTTAATCAGAGGTTAATGAAAAAACGAAAATGCCATTGAAAAGAAAAGATTGTTAAATACAAAATCAACATTCAAAATGTATAAATATGACCTGTATCAACAAATATACTGATGCTAAATGATAGAAAATTTTGTTCAATTCATGTTTGAAAATTTTCACTAACCACTGGTCATTTCTAATAAGCCTTAGAACAACTGGAGCCTGGTCATCGACCTTTTCTCACCAACCCTTAAAGAAATATCTAATAATTTAAACACAGCTTGACAATTTTTTTCTGGAATTTTTCAAAACAATCTTTTTTTCTAAAAAAGTATTTAACTTTTTTGAAATATCTGTCAAAATATCATGATCTTTCCAAGGAGAATGTGTATTTACGAACCTTTCAGGAATATGTTGTGGTGTGACCAGTAAACACTGGGAAAACAAGTGACTCTTATGATGTTTTTTTTCCTTGAAAAATTTGTGTGAAGACATATTGTGATCTAACTGTAGAATAATGTGTATTGGTGACACCTGACGAGCATTGGCATCTTGCAAGAAAAGATAGGCAACCAGTATACAATGAGAAAATGAATTATGAATGAAATAAGTTCTTAAGATGACAATTGATAATAATTATATTCCAACCAGGCAGAGACAATATACATCAAAAATTTACATAAATGCACTTAACGAACCGTCATTTTAAGAAGATAGAAAAAACCTGACATAACGACAGCATCGCAGCATCACAGCAACTGTTTCTTAATGAAACTTTTTTATTCTTCATTCATTTGCATTTAGAACATCTTTGAAACTAATTAAAAAATGAAAACAATCTAATTGATGTTTCAATAGTAAATTGTTACTAAAAATAAAACAAATAACACTTTATAAGGTTGGGTACAAACATGACAAAAATTATGATAAACTTCAGAGTAAAACTTAAAATAGTGTGCAGAGAACGTATACTATAAAGCTGTATATAAGTTTTTAAAAATAAGCACTAATCATATACACATGTATAATGAAAATATAACAACGACATTCATTTTTACTGGTCATTTTGTAAAGTGTATACATTCAAAAAGTAAAAGTAGACACTACTTCCATAGTCATGTCTACAGATAAAGATATATAAACCTTGCAATGATATAACCCTGTACCAGAAATAAGAAAGTTGATATGCATAATAAATTCTAAGGCTGTCTATGAAATGGATACAGGATCCAGCAGGAATCCTAACATCCTCTCTTACTTATTAACCAATTACTTGTATATGGCAAGCAGTAAGGATATATATGAAATGTGTGAACAAATTTGAGCAATCTAGTATCAACCTCAATTATAAAAAGAAAAATGAATATGATGATATTTATAGGTTTTAGTGGTATGTTTTAAAGACCATGTATGAAATGTATACAAGCTGACGAAAATACAGATGAAAAATGATGAAATAATATCTTCTAAAAATAGATCACATTATTTTCTATAACAAGAAGTAAATTGTAAGGATGTATATCAAATCTAAAATCTATCTCTGTTGGAGAGTCAAGACGAAAACATGTATTAAAATCATATACATGTACTAAAAATTCAATAGTATTAATCTTGTATAGTTTATCAGTTAGCTATCTATCAAACAATTACAGACACAATGTAGTAAGAATTAAAAAAATAACACAACTTGAAAATGAAAGTAGATCATAATATTATACTTTGAAATCAATCACATAGATTGTACAAAGTACATTGTAATCTCTCTTTGAAAAGGTGTGTATACCAACTGTAAATTGTTCCAATTACTGACCCCACTGACAATTTTTTCATAATTCATAAGATATACCAAAAACACAATTACATACTTAAAAATATTACCGACATCAAACAAAAATGACACATATGCTTTACAAGTCTTTGAAAATCATGAAATTTTCTATGCTAGATTTCCTTCTGTTTACTGACATTGCACTTTGTTAACGTTTGCAAAGGCTCATATTCTCCATTTGTTTCTTAGAACACACAGAAAAAAATCTAAATGATATGTCAAGAATTCAATTAAAAGAGAACGATATTGTCTGTTTAATGTTTTCCAAACAAATTCATCTTTTTGCTTTTAATTTTAGTGAAATCTTAAAGTTTAAACTGACCGAAAACAATCTGTATCTCAACATAGAAACACTAGTACTCAACTACAGAGGCAAGACATATACATACATTATGTACTAAACAGACATGTGCCATCTGATAAAGAAACCAGCTATAGATCACAGTTAAGTTGTCCATCTTGTGTCCATATTACAAATCTCTACTGTGTAAATGATCTTTGACCGGCAGTGTCCATTTCTGCTGACCGTTCTTCTGATCACACTCTGCTAGAACCAGACCTATGTCAGCCTTATAAGCATCTATACACTGACCAGTGAGATTGTGGACAATCTGGGATTGATGTGCCACCCAAATCTGTAAAGAAGTAAAGATTAAAGATGTTTTTTTCCCCCGTTCCAATTGATCAATTAATACTGGAGTTTTGTTAATCAATATTACCAATGAATTAATATTGAAATAAACAAATACTTTTGTCTGATTATAATTCCTTTAACACTTCATCTAGACATCATTTTCAATATATTATATCTTCCTTTTGTTCATGTCTAACCATTTGTTCATTACCGGGTATACTTAAATTTACAGAAGGTTGATTCATAAATCTATTAATACTATCACTAAACATTGAGTTAGAATTTTTATTAACTAAACATCTGCTGACTTTATTTATCTTTAAAAATAAATACTTGTGACTCGTCCTGGCTGCAGAATTTAGCTAGAACATAGTTATGGGTGGTCTCCAGGTGGGCTGTCAGACAAAGGCCGTTATTTGTGATGTCACCTCTTTTCTTCCATGACCATTCCTAATTGCATTGTACCAAAGACATACAAATTAATTCCTATATTCATGACCAATCTTAAAATTAAATATACATTTTACAAGTCTTGACCAACCATTAACACAGGGATGTAAGATAGCAATGACATAGCTGAATTGAACCAAATCAGTTTCAAAGGGACGTTTGATGCAATGACAGGGACATACCTGACTTGGCCGATCAATATCACAGGGACGCAGGATAGTGATGATAGGTACATGACCAGAGTCTACATCGAGACATAGGTCTCCTTGCTTAAGACGGCCAAACATCACCTCATCACTGACCGGTGGCCTGAAGTGAAGAAAACATAGCAGTTAGCAATTTAGTGTGGGATCTACATTGTTGGTATAGAAGATTGACTCACTTTGGTGAGGAATATGCACTGTTGGTATAGAAGATTGACTCACTTTGGTGAGGGATATGCATTGTTGGTATATAAGATTGACTCACTTTGGTGAGGGATATGCACTGTTGGTATAGAAGATTGACTCACTTTGGTAAGGGATATGCATTGTTGGTATAGAAGATTGACTCACTTTGGTGAGGAATATGCATTGTTGGTATAAAAGATTGACTCACTTTGGTGAGAAATATGCATTGTTGGTATGGAAGATTGACTCACTTTGGTGAGGGATATGCATTGAGAAGATTAACCCACTTTAGTGCAGTCGGATGTACATTGTTGAGGGAGAAAATTGACTCAATTCTAGTGAGGGATATACATTGTTGGTATAGAAAAATGACTCACTTTAGTGCGGGATATACATTGTTGATGTACCAGCCAAATGAACGACACTCTAATTGATTTCTTAGCTTCTTCCTATTAGAAATCCTGAAATTTCAAAAACAAATTTTTCATGATGACCTGATGATGTGAAATACCCATTTAAAGACAGATAAACCGATACAAAAAACTTGGAAAAGTCATAAGACTTACTTTGGTGGACTCACATCAAGTGTGTCTTTACCAGCCATGTGTTTTGGATTCCTTGTTACATTAAATCTATGACAACAGTATTTAAAATGTGAAAGTTATCTCCCCTGCAAATATTTTGACTCCTTGGAAATAGTTTGTCATTTGAAAATTATTTAGTTGTAAACTATTCAAATGATATGAAGATTGATTTATTGACAGGGTAGATATTGTTATAGATGCAGTTAAAAAGCTGTCGTCTGATATGGCAAGGTTTCATTCTAAATGATTAGTGGACAGAATAATTAACACTTCAATGAAGAAAAAATCTCAGAGTTTCTGTGTCGAATATTCTACAGAATGCTAATATCAATTACAACCTTTTAAGTGACCAATCACAATAAGATATTTAACCAAAAATTAATGATAAATTCATCATACTTCAGACAAGTTATAAACACAGGTCATTTATAAACACAGATCATTTATAAACAAAGGTCATTTATAAACACTTGTCATTTATAAACACATATCATTTATAAACACAGGTCATTTATAAACACTGATCATTTATAAACAGGTCATTTATAAACACGGATCATTTATAAACACGGGTCATTTATAAACACAGATCATTTATATACACAGGTCATTTATAAACAAAGATCATTTATAAACACAGATTATTTATAAACAAAGATCATTTATAAACACAGATTATTTATAAACAAAGATCATTTATAAACACAGATTATTTATAAACACAGATCTTTTATAAACAAAGATCATTTATAAACACAGATTATTTATAAACAAAGATCATTTATAAACACAGATTATTTATAAACAAAGATCATTTATAAACACAGATTATTTATAAACACAGATCTTTTATAAACAAAGATCATTTATAAACAAAGATCATTTATAAACACAGATTATTTATAAACAAAGATCATTTATAAACACAGATTATTTATAAACACAGATCTTTTATAAACAAAGATCATTTATAAACACAGATTATTTATAAACAAAGATCATTTATAAACACAGATTATTTATAAACACAGATCTTTCATAAACACAGGTCATTTATAAACACAGATTATTTATAAACACAGGTCATTTATAAACACAGATAATTTATAAACAGGTCATTTATAAACACAGATCATTTATAAACAGGTCATTTATAAACACAGATTATTTATAAACACAGATTATTTATAAACACAGATTATTTATAAACACAGATTATTTATAAACACAGATTATTTATAACCAGGGAAAGAGAAAGCTGCATATACCTCCCAAATGGCTTCATTCTAGCTGAAGGCTTCTTTTTGTAGAAATATTTTTTGTATTCATCCATCCATACCTCTGCCACCCTGCGATTGTTTCTGTGAAACAAAAATTAATACCATTAAAGATACTGACAGAGAATTTTTTGTATTTAAAAGATGAAGGCCCATGAATTCTTTTTACACAGTCTTCATTACTACAAATTTCCTTGGGTGATTTCTTATATTATTACCTGATAACAGTGTTTGTATCACCATCAGGGAATTCGTATGGATGTCTTTTCCTGAACACATGACCAACGCGACTGCATGGCACGATTTCAATCTGACCTCCACACATCCAGACTTTGAATGACAATTCTGAAAGCATATCAAGAAATATATGTAAGGAAACATATTAAGTTAGGAACATTAACTTGGGAACAGATACAAATTTTGTTTTCATTTTATTTCATCATTAGTGGCTTTAATCTCTCCAAAATTACTGAAAATTACTCCCCTGAAAGTAACATTTACAGTGATAGTCAATTATAACTAAGAGGCCGTTACCAGTACAGGAGCGAATATGATCTCTGTTGACGGAGCATGATTCTTTGGCTCAGTTGGTAGAGACAGCTGACAGAGACCGTGTTTGATTCCTGGTCAGGGCACTCAACAGGAGTGTTTTCCCTATCATCTCACATCAATATTTCTTAGCTATTTCATACATCGTTCAGTAAAGTCACAACAAATAGATGAGTACATTATCGCCTACTGATTGTTTTATCATGAATGATTTTACTTTTATTGTAATTTTTAAACTTTAAAAAAAATTTTGTTAACTTTTAGTACCAAAATTATCAGAGTGCAAGGTCACTCAGGCGTATAGTGCAAGTGATATACCTTGACAAGATGGCCATTCCAAAATACATAATGGTCCAGAACCAATGTCCAGATGATATGCTTCAATTTTTGTTTTTTTTTGTTCTGTCAATTTTTTTTATAATTTTGTCAATAAATAAGCTGAACCGGTATTTAAGCCAAACGTTTGATTGCCGAGGGAAAAAGTTGTGGCTTATTAATTCTGAAAGAAAATATTTAAAATGCAATTTTTTTTAGATACCTCAATATACAATAGTTGTATTGCGTTGAAAATGATCAAACTGATGGGTGTGTATTGTAATGCACTTATATCGAAACTAAAATGTGTTGTTAGAGTTCTAGTTACCATGAGACAGAAAGTGCAGTCTGTGAGACAGAAATAACAGAAAATGGAAACAAGGGCACACTGAACTTGTAGATCATTGTAAATATAATTTAAATATACCCTGATCTACATTACTCACCAAAGTTTTCTCCACCCCATATATTCATTCCAGTGTCGTACTTTCCCAGTTTGTTAAACCAGGCTCTGCTGATACTGAAAACTCCTCCTGCCATCACAGCTGTTCTAAATACACACCAAGTCATACATATGTAAGTAGTGAGAACATGCATATATATATCATTGTAGACATGAAAGTGTACATGTTCTAGACATAAAAACACACGTATGTTTTCACTGAACACATGCTAGATACATTACAAATCTGTTAAGTTTGGTGAAAATAATGTTTACAGAAAAATTGAAGCTGTACATATATATGAAGAAGATATTGTTAGCCAAATCCCGTAATTAATATATCAAAGTTTTAGCCAATTTACATATTTAAATATAACCAACAATCTTCTCCCAGTGAAACTTTATAATATACTAAAGTACAAGTACTGTAATGAATAATAAAACAGACCTGCGCGGATCTTCTGGTCTAAACACCATCGACTGAGGAGGAGGTTCCCATTTAAAGTTCAATCCCCAATCAAACCCTAAAAATAAATTCTTGTCAAGTACATTTTTTATAACCTTTATGAAAAAAAGTGTGAATAACATGCAGAATGATAATCAAATGGCCTCCAAAACAGCTCCTTTGTAACTGTCCAGAAAAAATTAATTATTTTAAAACACAAATCTCTGTTGAGTTATGGATGAAAATTTCAGGTAATCAAGGAAAAGCTTTGATATTAAAGTCACTGAGAAAATTTCTTATACCCTAATGATCAACTGTAAGATAACAAAATTGAATGTGTGTTGCTGCAGTGTCAATTGTATCATAATACCGGTATCTATTGACGTTTACATATCCTTAATATGGCAAAAGACATTATCTATGTTCGGACTGTTCCTGTGGTGGATCCATTGTTTCTTCAACTGTCCTTTCTTATTCAGCTTTTAATGAAACAATCGAAAAATAAGTTTAAAAGAAAAAAATGTTTTTTAAAACACCATTTTTTCCAAAACCCTAGATCCAACACTACATTCATTGTATTCAGTATTCTTACTTATTTCAACACTGAAGATTTGACAAAGTTTTGTCTTCATCACAGTTTGTAACTATATATAAACATACATGATAGAGTACAGCTGTACCAAGGTCATTCATGCAAAACTTTTAATAGAAAACAGAGATGGGGAAGGAGGTGAAACTTTCTGTTATAGACAGGGATTCAATTTCAGCACCAAACCCTTTGTTGTCATGAGAGATTATCACATTTGAAATTTGGTATATAACGAGTACACAAGATAAAATAACACTTGATGAACGAAGGGACATAACTCTGAATACTGGGAGGACATAAGACACAATTTTATAATGTGAGGCACTCACTTGAAAATTTGAAGCTGATACAGTGTAGGTAATCATCAGCAATTCATAACTTAAACAATCTTAAATGTAAATTACACTTCAGTACAATCTATCATATTCGGTGAACCCACCTCCAACAACCACAGGTGTGTGTGGGGCTGCAACGTAGTCAAATGTGGAAGTGTTGATCACATCCAGAACAGGACACACCACAGCCTTTGGTGACTGAAGAAGATGATTCATTTAAGTGTTATCAAAAGTTACACAAAACAAAATCTGGTGAATACTTTGGTTACAAGTTTCCAGATATCAAACTTTTCACTTTAGGTATAAAATGTTTATAATGCACTTTCTCAAGAAAACTCCTAGATGATGGTAAATAAACATCACCTCTGCTATCCGGAATAGAAGGGGTTCCAACCATCCAATGTTGACCTCACAATGACTGTCCAAGAAGGTCAATACATCACTCCCAGCTAAGTTGGCACCTCGTACTCGTGATCTGATCAGGCCTGTAAAAAAGATGATAAACTTAGGAATGGAAAGATTTGAAAATAATTCATTAAGTTTTTACAACACAATACAATAAAAAAACAACATAAAATATCATTCAAAACTCAATACATAAACAATTTACAACAAAAAACAACAAAACATGACACAAAAATAAATGTGATACTACTTATAAGGTTTCAAATATGTCAAAACATCTCATAAAATGTACCCTAAAAGTCCAGAAACTTAACTAGGGAACTTATATTTCCACACTAAAAGTTAAAAATAACATCACATTAAAGGAAAGAGGTCATAGGGCCTTGGACAAAATGATTAATTTAAATATATCTCCTAAAATATCTCTTGGAAATTCTTAGTTTTCACCAAATGTATTTATGTAGTTTTTTCAGTCATGGGTATTAGAAGAATTCATAAGGTGAGACAGCCTTCATCTATATCTACCAATAATTAGTATAGATCAATACCTAACTATGCTTCAGAACATGTTTAGATTTAAATATGACATATGCTTGTAATAATCAAAGAAAGCTATATTTACATGTTCTGTACATATGAAGATACTAACAGCATTTCTTTCATTCCTACCTTCTCGTTTTTTGTTCCTGTAAACTTGAACTTTTGGTATCTCAGGAAGTAAACGACCAACTTCAGCTGAAAAAAAAAGATTGAACAAAGTATAAATTTAAGTGTGGTAAGTAAAATCAGGGACAATTTTACTGGTTCCAATATATTCAAGTAAAATGAATGAATGAAACTCCAATAAAAATGTACTCCTCATTCAGCAATACAAGATATGAATATATATACAGCCATATAACATGAACTGCATTATATTTTGATTCACTATAATACATTTGCTGAGTATAATTAATTTTGTGCAATTTCTAATGATTTATAGTGAAGTTAAATCTGACATGAATATCATTAACTATAGAGTACCTACCAGTTACTTATATACAATGATTGAGAAGCTACATTACAAAGTAATCTGGTAAGTTTGCCTCTTCAAAGACTGAATTACCATTATCTTGTTTACTTACCATCATCACTAAAGTCATCAATCAGCAGTATCTCTTTGATCAGTTCTGGTGGTGTTCTCCTCAAAACACTGTAACACAACAATTCAACTGAACATTAAAGATCAGCAGAATTACTGAAATTCACTTTGATTAGCTTTTCCATTAATACAGGTTGAGACAAGATGGCTGACAATTCCATAAATTTACTTAGAAAAATTATGTATATAGATGTTCATTCTTACCAGAATGTCATCTTTACCAGAAATATTCAAGTTAGAAAATCGCATCCATTTTTAAGTATGCCCATTGCCCACTTATTTGCTTCGTCTGAAATGACCCCTGAAATAATTCTCTTAGAGATACATTTAAAGTAGTAAACCAACTTCCTCTTCATATAACTTTTGATTAATGTGATGATGAAAATGTGAGCATGTACGTCTCATTCTATTTGGACCTATAGCAGATGAAACTGGCTAAAATGCCTGATTATTTTTATCGTTTCATTTAAATAAAATACATAATCAAAATTTTGAGCTACAGTTGTGGCATCTAAATAATGACAATGAATTTGTGTCCTTATAATACATTCTCGTTTTCAAACTTTTTGAATACAGAAGAAAGATCTACATATACAAACCTCACAACAGTTCTCAGCAAAGTTGACCTTGCTTCATTGTAATAAGCAATAATCACAGATGTGGCTGGGAGGTCTGTAAATGGCCTTGGCTTGCACCTGAAAAAGAAGTGTTGATATATATAAATATATGCAGAATCATTAACTTCTTCAAATGACTGTTGGTGACAAAATTTAGGCTGCAAATTTTTCACATATATTTTTGCAAAATCTGTTAGATCAGATATCACTTTTTTTCTCAAATGATGCATGACCACACAATCAAACAGATTTATTACTTGGTATGCACATTTTGTTTTCAGCATAGCGGTAAGGGTGTGAAATAACAGTACCTTTTATTCCTACTGTCTGGTAGCGGGCGGTCAAACGGTATATCATCACTTTTGAGGATGTTGAATGCATGGTTCAGGAATGGATCCTTCTGATCTGATACTGATGGTGGCTGAAGGTAAGTGGATGGGTTAAATGTTCCAAGGCTCACACTGTGTGTCTGAAATGTAACAGATATAACTTTTAAACCTGTATCTATTATCTATATACTGCCTTATCTAAACACAATCTTTATGTCTTGTATTCAAACCCTGGTGGTGACACTTTGTCTTAATAAACATGTAACATTGTAAACCACAGCAACTGAAGACATACAAATTGTAATATATAACATTTTCATTCAATCAAATGTCTTTATAATTAATAATGGAAAACTTTTTTCAGTGGGAAGCGCCACTATCCTATGAGACATCCACATAGCTCTGATCCATATCTGTTACAAATTACAGGTTGAGTGTACATAGATTACAAGTTATGAGTCTACCTTGTTCAAAAGTAAGAATTTAAAATGGAGGACCAGTTATTATATATCTATCACAGATTTATTTATAATGAATAATTTCGAGGAATCCATATAATGCAGCACCAGGCAGAATCTCCAAATCCCAATGCATCATGACACTTAGTCTGAATTATTTTGATATTCTTTTGACTTTTATATTTGTCTGGAGTCAACAAACCCAACCCGATATAAAAAAATCAATAGAATGTCAGAATAATTGGGACTTTCAAGACACTTTGCCCAACCTTAACTGAAGTTGTTGATTACAAATAGAAGAAAACAAAAATAACCATCACTCTACCTTGCTCATAATAAACAAATGCAACTCCGTACACATACATGTACACTGTATTTAAATCTTGGTTAAATGATCATATTACTTGAGAATATTATTAAAAGGTCATGAGGAAAATATAATATTGATGAGCAGCAAGGACTAAAACATTGGTTTAATCCTCAAGTTCCACAATGTGAGACATTCTGTCCCTTACAAAAACTTGTGTACTTTTTCATTTAATTTCTGAATCATTAGCAGAAGAAAATCGATTCCTTTTATATTAGACTGTCCTAGGCCAGAATATAAAGTGTCAAGTTATCTTGATAAATATACATGATTGTGTATTTTGAGTTTAAAAGATAACTTCCGATGTGTCTCTTTCTCGACACGTTATTAAGAAAATGGTTGGAGTGTACACGTAAACAATACTCGCCTTTCCATCTTCATCTGTATCGCTTGTGATCCAATGTCTTGGAATAAAGAACATCTTATAAAGAAAATGCAGATCTCCTGAATAATGCATCACACACAAGATAATCATTGAGATAATCAGAAGGGCACACAAACGTCGGTATTTCTTCATGGTCAACTTGCATTGCCTCTTTATCTTCTTCGTGTAAAAGTTTCGAAAAGTTTCGTCGTCGCACTCAGCATCTGCATCAAATCGCTTTCTGATAAGTGTTTGGGCTACCTTCAACTACCTCATGCATTAAATACAAACGCGTAAGTGTTCCGGTTTCTTTCTTCGGAATGTTTCGGACTTTATCGTAACAGCAGAAAAATCTGACCTACCGGTGAGATTTTGGGTCAGCCGCATGTTGCAGTAAAACCAAAATTTAGCTAACAAATAAATATTACAAGCATGCCTAGCTGGCTCGGCCTCGATCATCGGACACTTGCTGTCGGGACTATAGCTGTAACTACAAGCGTCGCAGCTTTCTCTACGTATAAATGGCTGTCGGAGAGGAGAAGGAGTGCCGCCGACAACGTGTACGAATCAGAAAAGCTGTTGAACGAATATTTGGTATTTCACTATGGGTCGCAGAAAGAAGTATGTCGTTATGACTTTGGCCCAGTTGATGCCCTTGACTTTCCCAAACGATGTGCAGATGTCTGTCTGAAGCATACGGACGGATTAGAGGTAAATTGGTTGATGGTTACATTGGGCAGTATGCTGTGTGGCGAAAACGTCGGGCGTCTGCTTGTCCAAGATCGCCGCTCAGCTGCGACACTAACATATATATACTTTTATTTTTTTCTATACAATAGTGCAGCCAAACTATGTATTAAGGAAAAAATCTAGCACACGCGGTCACCGTTTTATTTATGTAAAAGCACTCCCATAACTGGCGGTGACTAAATATGTATGTATGGTAATTATGTAAGAGTACATCTGTTTATTCCCATGCCAACAGATGAAAAGTTAGAAACGCACGAGGTCTGCTACAAGAATAAGACAGAGAAACAAGAGGGATTTAAACATAAAGAAAAGACAGTGTATGCTAGATAATTTATCTTTGGTGTATATTTTTGTACATCTAAACATTTTAAAAGGACAAAATTGGGTCTTCACTTGATTGATTGATTAATTGATTGACAGGTTTTCTGTCTGTGACTCCTCTCGTTTTCTGGGTATTGTCTCACCAATGAACATCAGTGTTCTGGCAACGTTGAGTCTGAACTGATCATCAAATTGCTTTGGTTCATTAAAATGACCAATGTCAGGGGCAGAGGTGTGCACTTGTTTGTTGTCCAGTGAGGTTGAGAGTTCAGACTATTAATATATCCATGGTTACATGTACATATTTAAGATAGTCGAAACCCTTCAGAGTTGTTTTGACCCTTCAGATTTGTGATTTAACAATGTTCTGAAATTCACCCTTGTTGTGACGATAACCAGATATATAAATATATTTAGGTCTATTCTATACCAAATTACAAATGATTGATCAAATTTTGAAATCTAATTAAGGTGAAATTGTTTTCAGTCAAGGATCCCATCCAGAGCATTAGATATTGGCTGTGCTGTGGGCAGATCAAGCTTTGAGTTGGCCAGGAAGTTTAAGGAGGTGATCGGTATAGACTACAGCCAGTCATTTGTGGATGCTTGTATCTACATGAAGGATCTCAAAGAACGAGTATACTTTGTTCAGGACGAAGGACATCTTACTACACCTCATTTGGCTAAAGTTGCTGATGATATTGTAAGTACCCAGTTCAGACCTTTCAACAAGAACCAGACATTCATCATTCTCTGCACTGAGAATTTAATTTCTCAGTCATAAAGTGTATTATATTATTTAATTTGAGATGTAACTTTTCAATGTATTTTATGATGTCACAGATGTTTTTGACTAGAAAGTGACTTTGTACTTTCAGGGTGTACAATTTCAATTTAGCTTGATGGCATAAAAAATGTACATGTATGTATTTTGATGGGTACCTGTTAGAGGTTTAGATACATTTACTATGACAATAAATTGGCTAATATTTCATTTAAATAAAAGAAATATTATTGTAAAGATGAAATATTGAGTTGTTCTATGGTAAAGATTTGACCATATGTGTGTCTATCATGGACATCACAGAGTTCAGACATACTGTATGCTTCTTTTGTTAGGACCGATCCAGAACCAGCTTTCAGCAAGGCGATGCCTGCAATCTTCCCAATGACCTTGGCCAATTTGGATGTGTACTTGCTGCAAACTTGATATGCCGTCTCCACCAACCATTCAACTTCCTACGTAGACTTAAGGATCTTGTAGCACCTGGTGGTATCCTTGTCATTACCTCACCTTATACTTGGCTGCAGGAATTTACAGACAAGGTAACTGTTTTGATCATATCCAGCTTTTTAGTTCTAAGATGGAGATGAAAATTTCATAAAACATTGTACATAATTGTAGACAATAATCAGTGGCATTTGTGACAAACTCCACCAGTGTCCAACAAGGAACCAGTTTTGCTTTGTGTCCTTCATCCTTTCGTCCTTGTCCTTCTCTTATCTTGTCCAGGTCATAACATATGGCTTCATCTTGGTAAGATGGTGTGTCCCATAACAAAAGTAGGTTAATCTGACCTACATTTTGATGTCTGATCATCAACATAAGAAAGTTTGTATGAGCCTTATCATCTATACTGGTAGTAAATGGTACTTCAGAATTGGGGTATGGGTTTACAATGGTGAGACAGTGTGTCCGGTCTCAAAAGTAGATCACTCTGACCTTCATTTTGACCTTGATCTACATCAAAGAAAAGTTTGTCCTGGTCCTATCTCCTACACTACCAAACAGTGAAATTTCATACTTGATTTATTGGTTCACTTTGATGTGATGTTGGGAGACTGTAATTTGCCAAATCATCTTTTAAGGTTTTGTTTGATGGCTAATTCTTGTCTTTGTATCAACATGGTAAATGAAATTATGGATTCAAGGAGAAAGTCTTGTGAATGAAGGTGACAAATCAACAGGATAGGAAGGCTAGCAGAGGGTTCCTTGAAGAATATCCCTTGCTCATTAAAGAGAGAGATTTTTGAAAGGCTTGAAGGGTTACCACATGCATGGCATATCATGCCTAATGTAAGATAAGTTTCACATTGCTTTTTTAACCAATACCTTGTACCTTTTTGCAGAGTATTTGGCTTGGGGGATATAAGGACAAAGACGGCAATCCAGTGACAGGATTTGAGACTCTGAAGAAAGAATTTGGACCAAACTTTGACCTGGTGGAGGCTATGAATATGCCATTCTTTATTAGAGAAACTGCTCGCAAAAATCAATGGACAGTTGCCCATTGTACTGTCTGGAAGAGAAGAGCAAACTAGTTTGACATTAATCAAACTTGTCATGGATGAATGGTGTATGTCTGTAGTACCGGTAAATGTACCCAGGCAATCCTTACATATCATTATCCCATTATAGCTTGTGGCTAAATCATGAATATTGATGCAATATTGATATATTTTGTTACTAATTGTCCCTCCAATTATGATTGTAATTAAGGAATTCCATATACACAGATTAAAATAGAAAAACAGATTAACATAGAACTTGTTATTTTTGTGGGTGTAAATTTTAGAAGTTTTCATTTAAAATGTGAAAATTCCTTTTCTATGAATTGGAAGTTTTCCTGCATACCTTGAAGTTGAGATGTGGAAATATCTAGTTTTTGTATATTAAAGTCAAACAATGGTAGAGTATGGGCAATACCTGCTGGTATGATTCTGCAAGATTTAATAGAATTTTCTACATAAAGTTGTTCTGCACAATGTAAATTTAGCATGTATCTAATTCTGTTTTTGTAATTGTAGATTACTAAGACAATTCTTATTTTATAGCTGTCTGAATTTGTAGTTTATATCATGGATGGTGGTTGCAATTGTCATATTATTTCAATGATAATATATCACAATCAGTGTTTTTGTTTATATGTTTATGCCCCAGGAATTAGCAAAAATATCATCCATATGAAAATAACCAGCTTTATTATGTGATTGTGGATTTTCTTACCCATTGATTCGTCAAAACATCTCTCGTAGGTCTTAATGTAATATGTATTATGAAGCAAACAAAATCAGAAAGTGAGGTGAATATAACAGAAACAACAGTCCAACACCCTGTTTGGCATCTCACGTGTGAATATTACAATCCTGTATTATATGCTGCAACTTTTGCCTTGGAAAATATCACCTCCGAGGGTTGATAAATCCTCATATTAACCTCGAAACGAGTCATTAATTGTATATTAGCGTAATTTAATGTCCTTGTGATATATTGATTGTTATTTATGATTAGTCAAATTTGATAAATCAAGGTTTTCAAAGGCTTTTATTTCTTGCAGAACTTGCATCTTGATCTTGACAATGTGCACTAAAAATCGATATATCAGCATAGTCCTAAATGAATTGAAATTTTGCTTTCATTCGTCTTTTGATTATTGTCTTTTAAAAATAAGTACAAAATGAGCTAAAGCAACTTGACACATTACATAATGTTATGTTATAAATGGCAAAATTGTAATACTGCCTGCAAAATACTTTAGGGTAATGTATTTTTGAATGAGGAATTTATATTTGTTGTTGTTGGTTTTTTTAATACTCCCACTATTAATCAGAAATATATTAGGGAAGATATTTATATTTCTTGTAGAGGAAAACATGGCAGATTGAAAATATGTCTGTCAATAAGTCAACACTATTGCAATATCAGTTGTGGAAATAATTGTGATTTGGACATTGATAAATCATCGAAAAAAGTATATTCCTACTATATTTTGACAATATAAAATATTCTATATTTACAGCGTACATTTTTTTTACATAATTGTCACATTTTTAATGTATGTTGAACTGATGGATGGAGAAAGCTATTGACATTGTAACTTCATTTGATATGTACTGTTGAAACTAATATGCTTGTGCCTCGTGTAATTGTACACACTCCACTGTGCAAATTTGTGCCTGGAAGTTCTGTTCACATTATTTTTTGATGGAACTGTGATTGTAATGATGGAACTGTTTGTAGTACCAATATTTATCATATATATATAAGGATATTTAAGTTTGTGGTATTCACTCGGTTTTGCTCTCTATGTTATATTGTCCACATTCTTTTGTTGTTGTCAGTTGCATTTATGCAGAAAATAGTTGCCAAAGACGTGTAGTTTACTGAAATATTCATTCCATGTTGGCTTCTAGTTTTTTTATGTTGAATAAACAATGAATTAATAAAAACAATGTTTGAATTTGTTGTGCAAACCTTTGGACATGGTCCTAAGCAATTGATGCCATCATTTTGAGTCCTTTAAGGGTAGTTTGCAGCAAAAATAGAGGTTTCTGATGTATTGAATATAAAACATATCAGATGATAATCATTGAATATGCTAATGCCATCTTGCTTACAAGTTCCTTCATCCTGATAACAATGACACAAAAAATGGCCATAAAATTATGTCACGCTTCGTGATTAAGAATTTGTTTGTTTGCTGGGTTTATATCCCCATTAACAGCCATAACCTATTTTCATTATGGTCACATAGGATAAAATTTTTAAATAATCTTCTTCTCCAGTGCCGATAACCATTGAGTCATTAACATCCTTAAGAACTTTGAAGAATCTCTCTACTTCCAGAAGACACAGGTCTATACATTTTGCCAGAAGTTACCTGGCATGAAGTACCACAAGATTTTCTCATTCAAATAACTTTGACCTATTTAGTAGGTCACAGAGGTCAAATATACTAAAACCGTCTCTAAATTCTCTTCACAATAAGTTCCTAAAGACCCAGGCTACTGTTATTTTGCCAGCAGGTACCTTGGTTAGAGTGTTGGACATTTTCTCATGTGATGAACTTCTCCTTTTTCAAAACTCACAGTTGTTAAATATGTTCTAAGCCTAATTGTTTCCAGTTCTAGAAGACCAGGGATTAAGATACTATGCAGTTTTTGAAATGAATTAATATAGAATGTCATGTAAATGGCCTTAACCTTTTTTCAAAGACCACAGGAGTGAATTGTTCTTAAAAGATGTAAGAGTCTCCATCGTCTGCTCAAGTTACACTCAAGTTACAGGCTAGTGACATTTGGTACTTTACCAGGGATGATATACCGTAAATTTGCGGGTATAGTGCGCACTCAGGTATAGTGCGCAGGTACTTTTTTGGGGTCAGATTAAAAAAAAAAGATTTTCTACAGAAAGATTAATTGATTACTGGTTACCGCGATGAAACAGTTGTGGTTTAATCCATTGATAATTAGGAAACCACAATCAACGTGACCCTATCATAGTTAATTACCTTATATAAACAAATTCACACAGGTACCTGACTTAACAAGTGTGAAAGGCTTGGCTAATTGGATAATTAACGGTTCTTAACAGGTAACAAACACGTTGAGTATGAGGAGATTGATGACACCCGGCTTCGGCTGAACGCGTCCTATGCTCAGAAAACGATGTTGTTTTAACTGTCTGAAAAGTTTCAATCATACCTTGTCCCCATATCTGTACCTACCGCGGTATCCGAAGGTACTTTATTATAGATTGTTTACACCGACTTCGACATGGGGAAACTGCGAACGCCATTTGACTACGCCGAGAGACTTGAGTTTCGTGCCGCCGGTCGCCACTTCGACATTCCAGAGTGAAACATCAAGGCACGGAAGAAAGAAAAGACCGTCTAAAGTCCCAACCACTGACCAGAAGGGCTGACATAGGTGCGACAGCGAAACACCGTTCAACTTTGTATGCGATCGCCGAGATCCCGGCATCGCTGCCAGTACAACAGAACTGCGCGTGCAGGCCATGCACATCAAGAGAGGTCATGGGGTCACCAACTTGATCGGATCGGTGGGATGGGCTGTCCGATTTATGAACAGAACGACAATTGCCTAAAAACCTCCGGACTCATTGAATTCCACAGATACATCATCAAAATGAGGCAGAAATTCAGACGCTACTATAGCCCCGACTATTTGAACGACGGGAAACGAAAAAAAAAAAAAAAAAAGATTCACCGTAATGCTGGCGTGAATGGCCGATGATTAAAACATTCGAAATTTATTTAATATAATTTTATTTTTTTGTTGTTTTTATCTCCAAACTATCATATAAGACCGACGACTTTTACATATAACTATGTGAAGGGAGGTAATCCAATATGGCGGACGCAGAACTCGGTAATGATAACCCCAAGAATGGCATGTTCCTGCGTATAATACGCACCCCATTTTTGATTAATACATCAATGACCTTGACCTACTTTCATGGTCCCAGTGGTCAAAAAGTATAAGAACTGTTTGAAAATCTCCAGTTCTACAGGTAATAGACATATGGCATCAACATATTTTGCGAGCTGGTACCTGCGATAGATAGCTCTTTAACTTGTTCATATTTGTAAATGACATTGACCTCTTTAGTTCAGAGTTGTGCTTGAAACTTTTGAGAATAGTCTTTGAGATATTTTAAGGAAAGATGATCCAGGGTTGTGATAACATACCAGGAGGTACAATGTATATGGAACTGTACCTGAACTGAATGACCTTTACTTTCACAGTCACTTCACATCGCAAGTGGTCATATACTTGTTCATCCATTTTCGCGTTGAAGATCTGCGTTTCAAGTCGAGCATTCTGAGTTATACAGACATCACCACCAAATATCATTTCTACTGTATAATTGCACAGTAATGACAACATATCAAATGCTTATTATTGTTGCTGTTGTTGGTTTAAATTCAAATACTAAGGGCCTCATGTCTAGTTATTTTAGAACGTCTTGTGTACATTTTGAACCGTGCAATCATTCGAGTGAATTAAAATGTGGCATTTGACATTATAATTTACCCGATGTTGATTTTTCTATACCTTGGCAAAATTTAGATGTTTTGAACGTCGAATTTCTTATATCAAGTTCTCTTGTGATATTCTGGGGTAAGTTTTTGAAAGGCCTCCAAATTACATCCTCGGTGCGGGGGTGAAAATAACACTATCTATTATATAAGTGATAGTGTCGGTGATTTTCACCCGAGAGCGAGCAGAGGCGTAGCAATAATGAATGCTTGTATGCTTAAATATACACTCGAATTCCATTGAGATATATTTGCCCTACTTTTTTAACCTTACTGCGCCCCTAGATCCCCTTAACCGGGGCTTCGCCCTTGGATCCTCTCTTGAAAGCATACACTCTTAAAAATGTTTTGCTACGCCACTGGCGAGGATCCAAAAGTCCATATACTCTGCACTTGTTAATTGGTAGTACACTTTATATAATAATGTGTGTGCTGTTGATTGCTTAAAATCATAAAAATTGTCCATTAACATATGTGTGGGCTTAAATTACAGTGCAATCATAGTCAGTGAGATTCGACAGCTCACTCAAGACAACTCGGTAAATTTTTTATTATGGGTTGTTGGCTCTTAACTTGTCTTGGGCCAATCAGACCAATCAGAATAGCGCATACATAACGCTTACGGAAGTGCGCCTTTACAGTTCCCCGGATGAAAACAGAGAAGACCATACCGGTGCAGGTAACCAAACATTATGAACATATTTGGTATATACTACACACAAATGGTAATGAAGATGTAGAAACATCGTCATATTATAGTAGACCTATCAAATGAATAGGTGTGATAAGATGTAGATGTCATTGTGAGCGTGACCAGTTTTGACGGGAAATAAGTTCCCGCATTTCAGACAACATACTGCAACCTACACAAAAGTATACACATGAACATATCTGCTTTAAATATCTTTCGTTCGATATATGTCTATCTGCCGTTTTTTCTTATGAAGATCATGAACTGGATTAGGATCCATTATATTCGTGGTATGTCCAGTATTGAGTATAAATCAAATTTGGTTACAACCAATACACATAATATGTTGTTGTCTGAACAATGCGTTTGATTAGACACCTTTCTTCAATATATTGTCGTCTGCCTGTGACTGCTATGGAACAGTATTTTTTCCCTTTTTTTTAAACATGAAAATGATTTTTTACTAACTGTTTGGATTTAATTGTGCTTTGATTTTTACCCTCAGCAGTGTGCTGAAATTGCCCAGTGTCTTGTTTATAAAAGATATGTGCATTTCAAAATAAATATTCACAAACGTCATCTGCATTATAAAATGCATTTTCGTTGTCCTCTCTAACTTTTACACACTGTTACAATCTGCATAACTTTAGACTGTTGATAGAACAACTTGCTGGGATCACAGTTTGACATTACTAGTAGCTATCACAAATTCCTGTATTCGCTAAGTTTCAGTAAGTGATCAATTTCAAGTACAATTAGATGAATCAGATTGGATAAGTACTTTTGGGTAATCTGTTATGTTTCATATTCTAGTCATGGCTGCCTGCGACACCACTCTCTATCATGGGAAAGAATCTTACTAAAATGGCAATTATGAATGATACCTGTTAATTAAATACTTGTAGTCTAACATCAGAATGTTGGAATATAGATTTTATAGGTTTTTTGAGTGTATTTTTTTAAAATATAAAAATGACAGGTATAAAGTTGTGAGTAAACAAATATGTAATTAGTTTATAATATAATGATTTCATGTCATGGTAAAATGCATCTGTTCTGTAACTATGTAACAAATAGTTAAAATGTATTTTACAGGTTTGAAAAAATGGTAGACTGAAAAATGGATGTTGCTATGAAGAAGGAGTCATTTATCAATGACCTCAAACAGTTTGTGGATGTGTGTCAAGATGACCTCCACAATGTTCTCCAGAGAGTAGGATGGACACCAGAAAAAATCTTAGAGGTAAGATACAGTTTGGGATATGTAATCTATAGTACCAATTTGTCATCAAGTAGTTTCAGAAGTAAGGGGATATTTACTGTCAACTTTCTACTGAAATATATGATATCTTTTTTCTTAATAACTTGTTGCTCAGATTCTGGTAAACTTGATATTTTGGCGTTTTTGTGCACAGCATGGAGATCGAAGTCTATGTCCACACGACAGTAATCATGTGATGCCTGCTGCCTCACTGGAGAAACATACAGCCATATGTCCATTGCTTAAGAAGGGTTATACCAAGGAAGAAGCAGTAAGCATCCCTTTCATATTGATAAAAAGACAGATGTACACTTTACATCAACCAAGTACAACAATGTACACTTTACATCAACAAAGTACAACAATGTACACATTACAATAACCAAATTCACCAATGTACACTTTACATTACCCAAACTCACAAATTTATAACTTACATTAACCAAGCTCACCATATACACTTTACATTAGCCATGCTTTTCAATGTACACATTACATTAACCAAGTTTACCAATGTCCAATTTATATTAACCAAACTATTCAATGTACACAGTACATTAATCAAGCTCACCAACATACACTTTACTTTAACCAAGCTCACATAATGTTCACTTATGAAATTATCTAATTATCCAATTTGATGCACATTCTATCAGAACTTCTGATGATATTTCTCCGTCTAATTTACTAAGGAAATGTTATTTTGAGATACTTTGTTTGTTTTAGATACAACAGAGACAAAGCAACAGATATTTCTATGAAGGGATCGAAGCCAAGGTGCCAACAGTGAATATTGGTGAGTATGTATACTCTCACTGAGTGGTAGATGTCTATTATTCTGCATTTAATATAACTAGGGACAGGATGAAACCATGGATATTGATAATATCAGGTATAAATGTCCTATAGCAAATATTATGTAAATTCTTGGACGTCAATATCAAGGTGGTGGGGTTTTAAATACATTCAATGTTCACATCTGAATTCCAATGCTAATTCAATATCAGTGATATCAAAGTATATACTGGTACATGTTACCGATCATAGTCTCACATAGATCATCTTTTTAATATCAATTATCATATGACATGTGCTGGTTACTAAACACTGTCTCATCCCTTAGATTCTGTACCAGGAAACTGTGCTGTAATGTGTATACACATGCAATACATTTATACATAATCATAATATCATAATATCACTGAGAAGCTCTTTGGCGTTTGGAATTTTACAGACCTTAATATTGTCAAGGTCACTTTCAAGGTCAATTTTTATGGTCAAAATGGATGGTAACAGTTGAAAAAAGCATAATATGTTATTTGGAAGAATAAGATACATATGCAATTGTATAAGGCATTGTGCACAAGATGTGCAGGCTTTTCTTGACCTTTTAAGATCAAATTCATGAAAGGTCCAATTGCTTTTGTCTTGCATCAGATACATAGAGGATTTCTTAATTGTATAGATGTCATACACACAGCATCACTAGGCAGTTTGTCAGTTGTTATATTATAGATGTCATACACACAGCATCACTAGGCAGTTTGTCAGTTATATTATAGATGTCATACACACATCATCACTAGGCAGTTTGTCAGTTATTATATTATAGATGTCATACACACAGCATCACTAGGCAGTTTGTCAGTTGTTATATTATAGATGTCATACACACAGCATCACTAGGCAGTTTGTCAGTTATTATATTATAGATGTCATACACACAGCATCACCAGGCAGTTTGTCAGTTATTATATTATAGATGTCATACTCACAGCATCACTAGGCAGTTTGTAAGTTATTATATTATAGATGTCATACACACAGCATCACTAGGCAGTTTGTCAGTTGTTATATTATAGATGTCATACTCACAGCATCACTAGGCAGTTTGTCAGTTATTATATTATAGATGTCATACACACAGCATCACCAGGCAGTTTGTCAGTTGTTATATTATAGATGTCATACACACAGCATCACTAGGCAGTTTGTCAGTTGTTATATTATAGATGTCATACTCACAGCATCACTAGGCAGTTTGTCAGTTGTGAGCTTATAGATGTCATACACACAGCATCACTAGGCAGTTTGTAAGTTATTCTATTATAGATGTCATACACACAGCATCACTAGGCAGTTTGTCAGTTGTTATATTATAGATGTCATACTCACAGCATCACTAGGCAGTTTGTAAGTTGTGAGCTTATAGATGTCATACACACAGCATCACTAGGCAGTTTGTAAGTTATTATATTTTAGATGTCATACACACAGCATCACTAGGCAGTTTGTCAGTTGTGAGCTTATAGATGTCATACACACAGCATCACTAGGCAGTTTGTCAGTTGTTATATTATAGATGTCATACTCACAGCATCACTAGGCAGTTTGTAAGTTATTCTATTATAGATGTCATACACACAGCATCACTAGGCAGTTTGTAAGTTATTATATTATAGATGTCATACACACAGCATCACTAGGCAGTTTGTCAGTTATTGTATTATAGATGTCATACACACAGCATCACAAGGCAGTTTGTAAGTTGTGAGCTTATAGATGTCATACACACAGCATCACAAGGCAGTTTGTCAGTTGTGAGCTTATAGATGTCATACACACAGCATCACTAGGCGGTTTGTCAGTTGTTATATTATAGATGTCATAAATACAACATCACAAGGCAGTTTGTAAGTTGTGAGCTTATAGATGTCATACACACAGCATCACTAGGCAGTTTGTCAGTTGTTATATTATAGATGTCATACTCACAGCATCACCAGGCAGTATGTCAGTTGTTATATTATAGATGTCATAAATACAACATCACAAGGCAGTTTGTCAGTTGTGAGCTTATAGATGTCATACACACAGCATCACTAGGCAGTTTGTCAGTTGTTATATTATAGATGTCATACTCACAGCATCACCAGGCAGTATGTCAGTTGTTATATTATAGATGTCATAAATACAACATCACAAGGCAGTTTGTCAGTTGTGAGCTTATAGATGTCATACACACAGCATCACTAGGCAGTTTGTCAGTTGTTATATTATAGATGTCATACTCACAGCATCACTAGGCAGTTTGTAAGTTATTATATTATAGATGTCATACATACAGTATCACTAGGCAGTTTGTCAGTTGTGAGCTTATAGATGTCATACACACAGCATCACTAGGCAGTTTGTAAGTTATTATATTTTAGATGTCATACACACAGCATCACTAGGCAGTTTGTCAGTTGTTATATTATAGATGTCATACTCACAGCATCACTAGGCAGTTTGTAAGTTATTCTATTATAGATGTCATACACACAGCATCACTAGGCAGTTTGTAAGTTATTATATTATAGATGTCATACACACAGCATCACTAGGCAGTTTGTCAGTTATTGTATTATAGATGTCATACACACAGCATCACAAGGCAGTTTGTAAGTTGTGAGCTTATAGATGTCATACACACAGCATCACAAGGCAGTTTGTCAGTTGTGAGCTTATAGATGTCATACACACAGCATCACTAGGCGGTTTGTCAGTTGTTATATTATAGATGTCATAAATACAACATCACAAGGCAGTTTGTAAGTTGTGAGCTTATAGATGTCATACACACAGCATCACTAGGCAGTTTGTCAGTTGTTATATTATAGATGTCATACTCACAGCATCACCAGGCAGTATGTCAGTTGTTATATTATAGATGTCATAAATACAACATCACAAGGCAGTTTGTCAGTTGTGAGCTTATAGATGTCATACACACAGCATCACTAGGCAGTTTGTCAGTTGTTATATTATAGATGTCATACTCACAGCATCACCAGGCAGTATGTCAGTTGTTATATTATAGATGTCATAAATACAACATCACAAGGCAGTTTGTCAGTTGTGAGCTTATAGATGTCATACACACAGCATCACTAGGCAGTTTGTCAGTTGTTATATTATAGATGTCATACTCACAGCATCACTAGGCAGTTTGTAAGTTATTATATTATAGATGTCATACATACAGTATCACTAGGCAGTTTGGCAGTTTGTAAGTTATTATATTTTAGATGTCATACACACAGCATCACTAGGCAGTTTGTCAGTTATTATATTATAGATGTCATACACACAGCATCACTAGGCAGTTTGTCAGTTGTTATATTTTAGATGTCATACACACAGCATCACTAGGCAGTTTGTCAGTTATTATATTATAGATGTGATACACACAGCATCACTAGGCAGTTTGTAAGTTATTATATTTTAGATGTCATACACACAGCATCACTAGGCAGTTTGTAAGTTGTTATATTTTAGATGTCATACACACAGCATCACTAGGCAGTTTGTAAGTTATTATATTATAGATGTCATACACACAGCATCACTAGGCAGTTTGTCAGTTATTATATTATAGATGTCATACTCACAGCATCACTAGGCAGTTTGTCAGTTATATTATAGATGTCATACACACATCATCACTAGGCAGTTTGTAAGTTATTATATTATAGATGTCATACACACAGCATCACTAGGCAGTTTGTCAGTTATTATATTATAGATGTCATACACACAGCATCACTAGGCAGTTTGTCAGTTATATTATAGATGTCATACACACATCATCACTAGGCAGTTTGTCAGTTATTATATTATAGATGTCATACACACAGCATCACTAGGCAGTTTGTCAGTTATTATATTATAGATGTCATACACACATCATCACTAGGCAGTTTGTCAGTTATTATATTATAGATGTCATACACACAGCATCACTAGGCAGTTTGTCAGTTATTATATTATAGATGTCATACATACAGTATCACTAGGCAGTTTGTCAGTTGTGAGCTTATAGATGTCATACACACAGCATCACTAGGCAGTTTGTAAGTTATTATATTTTAGATGTCATACACACAGCATCACTAGGCAGTTTGTCAGTTATTATATTATAGATGTCATACACACAGCATCACTAGGCAGTTTGTAAGTTGTTATATTTTAGATGTCATACACACAGCATCACTAGGCAGTTTGTCAGTTATTATATTATAGATGTCATACACACAGCATCACTAGGCAGTTTGTAAGTTATTATATTTTAGATGTCATACACACAGCATCACTAGACAGTTTGTAAGTTGTTATATTTTAGATGTCATACACACAGCATCACTAGGCAGTTTGTAAGTTATTATATTATAGATGTCATACACACAGCATCACTAGGCAGTTTGTCAGTTATTATATTATAGATGTCATACTCACAGCATCACTAGGCAGTTTGTCAGTTATATTATAGATGTCATACACACATCATCACTAGGCAGTTTGTAAGTTATTATATTATAGATGTCATACACACAGCATCACTAGGCAGTTTGTCAGTTATTATATTATAGATGTCATACACACAGCATCACTAGGCAGTTTGTCAGTTATATTATAGATGTCATACACACATCATCACTAGGCAGTTTGTCAGTTATTATATTATAGATGTCATACACACAGCATCACTAGGCAGTTTGTCAGTTATTATATTATAGATGTCATACACACAGCATCACTAGGCAGTTTGTCAGTTATTATATTATAGATGTCATACACACAGCATCACTAGGCAGTTTGTCAGTTATTATATTATAGATGTCATACACACAGCATCACTAGGCAGTTTGTCAGTTATTATATTATAGATGTCATACACACAGCATCACCAGGCAGTTTGTCAGTTGTTATATTATAGATGTCATACACACAGCATCACCAGGCAGTTTGTCAGTTGTTATATTATAGATGTCATACACACAGCATCACCAGGCAGTTTGTCAGTTATTATATTATAGATGTCATACACACAGCATCACCAGGCAGTTTGTAAGTTATTATATTATAGATGTCATACACACAGCATCACAAGGCAGTTTGTCAGTTATTATATTATAGATGTCATACACACAGCATCACTAGGCAGTTTGTCAGTTATTATATTATAGATGTCATACACACAGCATCACTAGGCAGTTTGTCAGTTATTATATTATAGATGTCATACACACAGCATCACTAGGCAGTTTGTAAGTTATTATATTATAGATGTCATACACACAGCATCACCAGGCAGTTTGTCAGTTGTTATATTATAGATGTCATACACACAGCATCACCAGGCAGTTTGTCAGTTATTATATTATAGATGTCATACACACAGCATCACTAGGCAGTTTGTCAGTTGTTATATTATAGATGTCATACTCACAGCATCACTAGGCAGTTTGTAAGTTATTCTATTATAGATGTCATACACACAGCATCACTAGGCAGTTTGTAAGTTATTATATTATAGATGTCATACACACAGCATCACCAGGCAGTTTGTCAGTTGTTATATTATAGATGTCATACACACAGCATCACCAGGCAGTTTGTCAGTTATTATATTATAGATGTCATACACACAGCATCACCAGGCAGTTCGTAAGTTATTATATTATAGATGTCATACACACAGCATCACTAGGCAGTTTGTCAGTTGTTATATTATAGATGTCAACAATGTTTGGACACAAGAGATCAAAGGCCGAATGAAATTTTACTCAAATATAACTAGTTTATTTTCTCAATTATAGTAAGAAATTGCTGAAATAGATAGGTTAGAAATCTAGATCTATTTCTTTGCTTGTTTTGATTTCAGATCAGGAAATGATGAATAAGATTCTTTGGGATCATCACGTAAAGAACCGATCAAGTAAGAATTCCACTGTAGACATGTGTATTTATTGAATCATTTCTCACTGTATACTGCACTGGATGGCTGTTGCTCGGCTAGCCAAACAGTATGACACAAGAGAAGGAATCCAGACAAATTTTGAAAAAAGATAAACGGAGAAATATAAGATAGTATTAGTGATTATTGATAGTTTGTTGTAGTCTTTCAGTAAAGAGGATCATTGTGTAGGGGTAGTATGATAGTTAATATCAAAATTTGGTATTTGAATTAATGTTTGGTTGTTTTCTACTGTTCTTCAAAAAGTGATTTTCTTGTTTGAAAAAATCTTTTTATTTGTTCATAGAATACAAACCACAAATACAGATTTTTTGATAGTGAAATTTAATTGTTCAATTGAATTAGCAGTATATCAAACAGAGACAAGCTTATTTGTTTGGAAATATTTCCCATGAAAAATTAACTCAAGATTACAAATTTCCAGTGTATATCTTTCTTTGCTGTGATCTTTTGTGATATCCTGACATTACAGGAGACGTATTAACAAGCCCAGCAAGTGTCACTGAAAATTCAACTTTGTGTTTTTGTAGTATTTTATGGTCACAAAGATGATTGCTTGACCAGAGATGACCAAGAAGTCCAGTTAACTGCAGCAGAAAGAGCTGCCCTTTATGAGTATGTTGTGACAAAAGCAAAAGAGGAGCGAGAATTTACACCTCTAGAAGATGAGTTCCTCACCATGAATCTAGAGGAATTTGTCAAGAACAAAATATCAGGTGTGTAATGTGGGAATCTTTTAAGATGGTGAAGATTACACAAAGCTGGAACATGTTATAGGGTATGATTTGAGTAAACTTATCATTGCTCAAAACGAGGACAGCTTTATATCTCTATATATTCTGTCATTTTATGTGAATCATAAAGTGTTGCCCATATGCTTTCATTCCCTCATGTCTTGTTGCTTTCTGTCCATTTCCATTCTACCTGACTCAATCTCATATATTGAAAATTTCGTAACAGATTTTGTTTATATGAACCCAAATATTATAAAATTCTACACCTTCATGAATCACATTGGACAACTACTGCACATAATTTGTATCAGAGTGAAGGAAATTACGTCTTTCAGACATTTTCTAGTTTTTATGAATCCCAACAAAGCTTTAATGAAATCAAAATTCGAGCCTCTTGAAGATCTATTTTTTTAATGTAATTTCCATTTATTCTTAAGAAGTTTTTGTGGAACTTCATGACAGTGAATGGGTAAAAAAATGTTTCTTTATGGATAATTTAGATATATTTGACTACTTTCAAAAATCATTTGTCACTAACAACCCAGCTTGGTGTTTCTTATAATTGGCAGACCTGGACTGTTTTTATTCAGGTCTCAACATTCATACAAATTTGCTGTCTTATATAAACAAGTATCTGATTAGTTGCTCATAGATAGAATGATACATTTCATATGCAGGCATTGATTGTAGTCGCTTTTGTGTGTGTATAACTGTTAAGATTTAAATTAAAGAGATGACTAATTATTCCTCATAAACACTCTATCATGAAGGAAAAAATATTCATAACTTTTGCTGTATATTTGCACACAGGAAAGGACAATGCCTCCGACAGTAAACCGTCTAACTACTTAGAATACATCAAATCTGAACGAGACTACAAGCGTCGCCGACAGACATACAGAGCCAAGAATGTTTACACGACCAAAAAGTCCTACACTGAGGTAGAAACAGGCCATCTTTCGAAATAATCTGTTCTAATACAGTTTAATGTGCAAAATTGTTTTATTTCCATTTAATAGTTTTAAAAGGCTTGAAGCCACCATTATTTATGTTCTTAGACAACATATTAATGTGTTGACAGCTTACTCTCTAAGACATGTTTTTTTTTTAATTTTCTGAATTGTCTAACTCAGGAATAACTACCTGTTTTGTTAAATGGACCAAGGAATGAGTGATCAGTGCCATTTTGTAATTCGTTGTCATATTTTACATTCTTTGTAAGAAATCATCAAAATCTGCCTTTGTTAATTATTGAATTTTTCATTTAAAATGTTGATTGTTCCAGGTGATCAGAGATGTAATAGAAAACCAAACAGATCTTTTTGCATCTTTCATGAATCTGGGAAGTCAAGAAAATGAAGATAAAGAAGACACTTCAAAGGCTCAAAGCCATGAAAGAACTAGCATTGATTTTGGGTCTAAAGAAATGTCCACAGACAAAAAGAAGAGATATTCCTCTTCTAGAGATAGATCTCGAGAGAGAAGCGTAGACAGGTCTAAAGAAAGAAAGTTAGCTAGATCAAGAGAACGAGACAGTCGTCGGTCAAGGAATTCAGATCACAGGGTGGGGAGATCTAGGGAAAGATTCACAGAACAATCACTGGAGAGAGAAAGCTCAGGAGAAATAGGTCTGCGAGAAGAGGAGCAAGCAAAGAGGAGAAAAAGGTCAAAGTCGGTGACAGAAAGCAGTGAAAGTGACTCCAGCAAAAAACACAAAAAACATCACAAGAAGCATAAACATAAACACAAACATAAGTCAAAATAGTTCCATGTTGTGTAGGGTAAGTCACAATGGAACACATTAAGTCAACCAATAAATAAATCAATAAATGTATCATTACATGTGTTTTTTCTTATCTATGTTATTTTCTAAAAAACCAAGTACAACGTGGGTTTCAAACTCCTCTGTAACACATGCTCCTCTTCAGTTTATGTGCTGCATTCTGAAAACAGTTATGCTCTAAGTTGTGGCCCTTTGTTAACTATGAGTTACATTTTTAAGCGTATCACATATACTGTAACTTACAACTGTTACACTTTTGTAAGTACAACATTTAGCAATGGGGACAGAACTGATCTTACGAACCATTTTACATTGAATTGAAGCACTTTGTTTCACTGCTAGGGTATCTACCATAGTAAGGTGATGTATGGGATGGGCAAGTACGACACAGTGTCCAGTGATCCTTAGCCTTACTACATGACATTCTGTTGACTCTATCTAAATCAAACAACACTTAGACCTAATGAATTTGATAGCGATATGTGCTTGGGAGACAAAATATATGTAGAAGAGAATATACTGTGACATTTCACTTTCTTGTTAAAAATGTATAATGAAAGGTTTTGTCCACATTTAATTCATTCTAAAGCTTACTAGTAAGTGAGTGCTGTTGTTTTCTGATATTGTAAGATATTATTCAGGTAATTTCCTAATGAGGATATATATTAGAAGGCAACTGAACAGTTATTCTAGGGTACTACCATAGTTCATAATCCTCTCCCCTGTATCTACCAACAGATGGACGGCTCAATCCACTGTAGGGAACAGATACTACAATGTAGCTACTCTTGACACATGTGTGTCTAGAACCTTCACCTCAGAATACAATATCTGTGTCTACAACCTTCACCTCGGAATACAATATCTCTGTCTAGAATCTTCATCTCCGAATACAATATCTGTGTCTAGAACCTTCATCTCAGAATATATCTGTGTCTAGAACCTTCACCTCAGAATATATCTGTGTCTACAACCTTTACCTCAGAATACAATATCTGTGTCTAGAATCGTCACCTCAGAATACAATATCTGTGTCTAGAATCGTCACCTCAGAATACAATATCTGTGTCTAGAACTTTCACCTCAGAATATAATATCTGTGTCTCGAACCTTCACCTCAGAATATAATATCTGTGTCTAGAACGTTCATCTCAGAATATATCTGTGTCTAGAACCTTCACCTCAGAATACAATATCTGTGTCTAGAACCTTCACCTCAGAATACAATATCTGTGTCTAGAACCTTCACCTCAGAATACAATATCTGTGTCTAGAATCGTCACCTCAGAATACAATATCTGTGTCTAGAACTTTCACCTCAGAATATAATATCTGTGTCTAGAACCTTCACCTCAGAATATAATATCTGTGTCTAGAACCTTTACCTCAGAATACAATATCTGTGTCTAGAACCTTTACCTCAGAATACAATATCTGTGTCTAGAACCTTCATCTCAGAATACAATATCTGTGTCTAGAACCTTTACCTCAGAATACAATATCTGTGTCTAGAACCTTCATCTCAGAATACAATATCTGTGTCTAGAACCTTTACCTCAGAATACAATATCTGTGTCTAGAACCTTTACCTCAGAATACAATATCTGTGTCTAGAACCTTCATCTCAGAATACAATATCTGTGTCTAGAACCTTCATCTCAGAATACAATATCTGTGTCTAGAACGTTCATCTCAGAATACAATATATCTGTGTCTAGAACCTTCATCTCAGAATACAATATCTGTGTCTAGAACCTTCATCTCAGAATACAATATCTGTGTCTAGAACCTTCACCTCAGAATACAATATCTGTGTCTAGAACCTTCACCTCAGAATACAATGTCTGTGTCTAGAACCATTACCTCAGAATACAATATCTGTGTCTTGAATCTTCACCTCAGAATATATCTGTGTCTAGAACCTTCACCTCAGAATACAATATCTGTGTCTAGAATCGTCACCTCAGAATACAATATCTGTGTCTAGAACCTTCATCTCAGAATACAATATCTCTGTCTAGAACCTTCATCTCAGAATACAATATCTGTGTCTAGAATCGTCACCTCAGAATACAATATCTGTGTCTAGAACCTTTACCTCAGAATACAATATCTGTGTCTAGAACGGTCACCTCAGAATACAATATCTGTGTCTAGAACCTTCATCTCAGAACACAATATCTGTGTCTAGAATCGTCACCTCAGAATACAATATCTGTGTCTAGAACCTTCACCTCAAAATACAATATCTGTGTCTAGAACCTTCACCTCAGAATACAATATCTGTGTCTAGAACCTTCACCTCAGAATACAATATCTGTGTCTCGAACCTTCACCTCAGAATACAATATCTGTGTCTAGAATCGTTACCTCAAAATACAATATCTGTGTCTAGAACCTTCACCTCAAAATACAATATCTGTGTCTAGAACCTTCACCTCAGAATACAATATCTCTGTCTAGAACCTTCACCTCAGAATACAATATCTGTGTCTAGAATCGTTACCTCAAAATACAATATCTGTGTCTAGAACCTTCACCTCAGAATATATCTGTGTCTAGAACCTTCACCTCAGAATACAATATCTGTGTCTAGAACCTTCACCTCAGAATACAATATCTGTGTCTAGAACCTTCACCTCAGAATACAATATCTGTGTCTAGAACGGTCACCTCAGAATACAATATCTGTGTCTAGAACCTTCATCTCAGAATACAATATCTCTGTCTAGAACCTTCATCTCAGAATACAATATCTGTGTCTAGAACCTTCACCTCAGAATACAATATCTGTGTCTAGAACCTTCACCTCAGAATACAATATCTGTGTCTAGAACCTTCACCTCAGAATACAATGTCTGTGTCTAGAACCTTTACCTCAGAATACAATATCTGTGTCTCGAATCTTCACCTCAGAATATATCTGTGTCTAGAACCTTCACCTCAGAATACAATATCTGTGTCTAGAACCTTCACCTCAGAATACAATATCTGTGTCTAGAACCTTCACCTCAGAATACAATATCTGTGTCTAGAACCTTTACCTCAGAATACAATATCTGTGTCTAGAACCTTCACCTCAGAATACAATATCTGTGTCTAGAACCTTCACCTCAGAATATATCTGTGTCTAGAACCTTCACCTCAGAATACAATATCTGTGTCTATAATCTTTACCTTAGGATTTAACATCTGCATCTAGAACCTTTGCCTCCAGAAACCATCCGACAAAACAAAAAACACATTTATTGTTGTACATATTTTTTATTTATTTATTGACATTTTTGGCATTTAATATTTAATTCTTCCCTTTCCACATACATAAAATATATGACCTGTAATGTGGGTTAGATAAAGATCTGCAATATACAAAGCATAATGACTCGGTGCTATTTGCTGATATTGGTTTCAAATAAAAAATAATATAGCAGCAATATAAACAGCAAGCAATGATAAGTACTTGGTCTGAAATGATATGTACATTATGTCTAACAGACAAAAGCATTCATAAGGAATTGAAAAGTATGAATAAGTTAACTTATAGACAATAAGCTTAGAAGTCGATTTCATAGCATGTTAAGATTTTTCTTCATTTTTGTTCTAATCATAAAAGAAATATGGACAGAAAAAACTACAACAGCCATCCCTCTCAAAGTCCATTATAATATTCAAACATTATTGTGAAAATGTGAATCTGGATCAGCGTTCTGTTTGGATAAACGCTTATGATGCAACTTTATTCGTGACAAGGACTGTCATTCTTCCCGTATGACATACTATAACAGAAATCACACATGCCAAACTTTTAGTTTGCACTGTGATAAAATTTGATATGAAATACTTCCTTATTCAAATTCAGTTTGAACATTTTGTTCTGTTCTAAATGGTGTCAGACTCCAGATAATTTCTCTGTGATATTTCATTTCCACATTTTACAGAGAAACATTCATTTCAACACATTGTCAGTATCAGCACCAACTTAAAATGTATGTTTTGGAGGAAACATCCATCTTTTTCCACTTTTCCTACTTCGTCTTGTTTTATCGTACTTATTTCCCTGATTGTTTGTGGCTAATTTCAAACCAGCACCAATTAAATCTGAACCAAGCACCACAAAGTCTGAAATGTCCCTATGGGAAATAATTTTTCTCATTTTTAAGTACAATGTATTGCATTCCTATTGAATTCAATTTTTTTTGAAGACTTAACTAATTGCCAAAGTAATTAATATAACTTTTTGACGAGGAATATAAAACATTGTAGTATGGAGTACATTTCTTTTCAGAATATAAAACTATAAACATGTTTTCTCATTGCCTAAATTAAGATAGTTCCAGCATTGTTCCAAGTGGTTGTGATTATCATAATTTCTTAAATCTTACAACATATATCTAATCTTTCTACTTAAATTCATTAGGCTAAAAAAAGTTGAACATAGGTTATTTGTGTATTTTTTTCCCACTTTTTTAAATGTTGACAATTACTACATGGCACAAGATTTTTCTGTGTCTAATTGCGGTACTGCTGTATCTACATTATGTGGCACATATACCTATCACAAGTTGTTCGTTGGTTTTAACAGTGAATTTTCTGTTTGTTCATAACAATTTAATATAAACAATAACTTGAGCTACAATATATCTAAAACAATACGATACTACATATTTTAACAAGCATTGCACCTATTTATCTGAAATAAAACTTTTGCAATTCTACATTCCATCCCCCATTCCATCCAGGGACAGGTTTTGCCAGAAACTTGAAAGAAAGATGTTGATTGGTTTTTTTTCTAGCATGAAGGGAAATGAACCTAGAGACAGGAGAGTTGACAAGGTCATCATCACTGACGGTTCTATAGTGTTAACACACTGGAATGCATTATGCAGTACGGAAACTTTATCTTATAAATCAGAAATCTTCCATATTTATATTCAAATGATTACACATCATTACTTTCTAACATCTTTGACAAAAATCGACGAAATATGGATGGATTGATTATATCCTTATGTATGTGAAACTTTGAACAAATTTTACATTGCTGGAAAAGGAAGGTA